TAAATAAATAAATAAATAATGTAAACTTTATTGTTAAATTCAAGTATTTTAAATCCGAAAGAATAAATTTACAAGCGTCTTTTTACACTTTGATAGTAAAATGTCTAAGCGCCACTGGAAAAGGTAGAATGTCGATAACGCATAAGAGTATCTTTTAAAACAAAATGTACGAAGCGAACCAGTGTCATTGAATTACGCGGTTTTCCTCACCACTCGACGGTCAGAGGTGCAATAAAACGGAGAGGGATAAGAGAACTTTCATCCGGACCCTTCCGGTTCCGCGGAAGCGAGTGTTTAGTGAGAACGCGCCCTTACGCCGGAGGCGAACGAGGAAGGAAAAGCAGGAAGATCGACCGAGGGGTGGTTCGAGCAAGGGAAAAGGTGGAGCGCGAGAAGGGCAGACATAAATTGAAACGAATGGAAAAAAGATATTGGACAAAACTGAAGGGTTTATAAAGAGATACAACTACGATAATTTTTAAACAATAAAGAACAATAATAACCTCCTAACTTTTTATTTTCAATAATTCTCTGTGATATAAAATGCACACCAAAATACGGTATACTGTTTTTTAACATATGTATAATGCATCTATAAAATGAACATTTGAACATTTCGACGTAGGATTTCCTATAAACGAAATAAACGCCGTAGTCACGCTGGCCATAATAGTCCAAAGGGCTGAAGGCTTAGTAGTTGCTTTATCTCAATTACTTAATCTCAATTACTTACAGTGCTCTTTCAGTCACTATCGGAACACCATTGGTTCAGACGTAAAGAAAAGAGCAGAGAACTATAGTCGTAAAGAAAGGAGAAACACGGTGGGCAGGTCACGGAAGGTACAATAAAACGCAATAAGTTAAGAGACGGTAGCTATATGTGCGAAGTACATACGTTCACGTGAGGATAATCGAAAACAAGAGGAGAAGCAGGTACGTGACGCCGAAGGAGAAACAAGAAACGAAGCCAGACGACGAAGAGAGAAATGGTAGACGGGGACCAAAAAGCGGCGAGGGTGAAGACACGCGAGGGTTGTTGGAGCGTCAATCGATAAATTCCTCCGGCTAGGAAGAGGGGCCACGATACGTGCTGATGTCGCGAAAAGGTCCTTCTTCGCAAACACTCCGAGTGTCATTCTGGAAAGGTGAGAGAAAAGGAACGAGGGGGGGGACTCTCTTTTAGCTGCACTTTATGCAGTTTCGCGCCCCTCGAGGGAAAAGAGCGGCCTGTACGCGCATCTCTCATCCACTGTCTTTTAAAGAGAGGATCGCCCATCGATCCGTGATAGAGACGCAGCGCACATTCTTGTGACAGAATGCCCCGCCTGTCGGCTAATTATCCCCTCGCCGGTCGTTTAACGCATCGATTCCTTCTTCCGGAAGAGCAGAGACCGAACAAAACATTACAGTGATATCGGTCGAGTGTAACAGAATCGCTGGGGTGAGCTCTCACACGTACAGTTCAATCTTGTGATCCTCAAACTCGATGTTTCCGTGAGAACTGAAGAAGTTTGCGAGAGAGAAAGAGAGACAAAAGGCGGCGAGGATCCTAGTGAAGTGGAATTTGAATTATGCACTTTTGGCACGATTAACCTCGATACGGAGTTCAACGTACGAGAAAATTGGGAAGCTGGCCCAAATACATATATAGCCTTGATATTATTCCAAAATTGGTTGAAAAAAATGTTTAAATGTAATATCGATTTTTCAGGACTATAAATAAATTTCAATGTACCATGCAAATTCATTAACCTCGTAGAGATTAAAGCTGAAATTATTTTCTAAACTCATCTCGCATGTTTCTGAAATAAACGAAAACGGAGTGGTTGAAATCTTAATTAGGAACCGACAAACATTCAAATCGTTATAAATTAAAAAACGGATTTCCCCATTCCGAGACGGGTCATACGCAACGCAACGGTGCGCTAAGAGACATCAAAGAGGGACGAAGTTATCGCGGTCGGCCGCTGATGTTAAAAGTTGCGGTTCGCGGGAGGCTAGATCGCCCGAGGTCACGTTCCTATCGCGAGGGAGCCCTTCCCGTGGCCCCCGGGGGCCGTGATTAAAATTATTGCTCGACCCAAAGTCAACACACTGCGCAAACAAAGGATAAACGCATTCTCGGTACAAGAGCGGCGCGATTAGCATCGCAAAATATTTCTCGTCTTCGTGGTGGTATGGGTGTCGCTGACTGTCGTTTATAGCCAGGCCACGAGAACGTTTTATATTGCTTTCCTGTGATCTCTTGGACCATCTCTCTGAATAAAAGACGAAGAAAGAGGAAAGAGAGATGGACGGAGTAGAGCAAAAACCATAGAAGGGAAGGGTAAAGAGCTTTGGCGGAAAGTTGCCGCGGGCTCGCTTTGTAGTTATGGACAAGTTGCACGGCTGGTGACGAGCAAAAGAGGCAATTTGTTAGAAGAGCAGCCCGTTCGTCGTGATATACATTCTTATACAAAAGCGTGCGGACACTTATTTTCAAAAATACGTTATCTTCTAACTATGATTAATAATTTAAATGGACAGTAAGTTGATTCATTTTTATTATAGTTAAATAAATAAAATACTGTTAATTGATATGATATTAATTTGTATATTTTAAATAGCAATATTTATCACATATCTGCATAAGTCGATTAAAATAATGCCTACTATGAATTAAACTTATGAGGAGTATTTAGTCTATAATTCAGGGCTCTCGATCTCAACTAGTCTCTCCAGTTCGCTTTGCCTCTTTTCTTCTCACTCGGAAAGAGTAGAGAAGGAGAAAGTGGTTCTACTCCTTCTTCCCGTAACCCTTTTTCGTCTGGATCACCCTTCTCCGTCTCACCCCAAAGGTTCTTGCTCACAAGCGACAATCGGTGTTAAAATGCGTGAATGCACTCGAAGCACGCGCTCCTACTTGTACAGGAGCACCGGCCTCTCAAAAACAAACGGTGCCTTCTTGCCGCGGCGGCGCGTCGTGCCGTATTCGGTGTGACTTAATTAATGAGAGCGAAGCGTCGACAATGTCGTCTTTGTCGAGAAGTTCGCGGGACTGGGTCAATAAAGACGCGAGACCGACCGTTTCGATTAATCGTATCTCCTAAGTACCATCGATCCACCTTCGACCCGTCGATCAGTCTCTACAAGATAGAGAGAGAGAGAGAGAGAGAGAGAGAGAGAGAGAGAGCGCGCGCTAGACTGGGGATGTTATATATGTATTTATAAATTGAATGCGGTAGAAATATGAGAATAAGAACTAAATGTAGTGGAAATGTAAAGAAGGGATAAAAAGTATCAATTACAATACTCAATAAATGGCGGAAGAAATTTTTATTTAAATCACATTTTATTAAATAGTTCTATTTTGCATAAATTCCACAGTATATTCGTTACGAGTCTCATTGAGTCCGACCGGGACTTTAGGAACACTGACAGTGATTTGTCGAGGAACTCGATTATGTCCGTTGCGAATTGATCCCCGTTACGTAGAAGTACGCAGTAGAGCACGTGCACGATTACTTAAACGACGCTTTTTAGGTTGAATACAGTCAGCCCGGAAGGATGACTAACTTATTAGGATAACTACTGTTTGGAACGAGTTGAACATGAAACTCTGTACTGTGTGGAAATACATGGAACGCGATAGTTTCCGAGAAAGATCAGTTTTAACGTCGCAAACCACACTTACCAAGAATAAAAACGTGTACACGTTAGGAGAGCCTTTTCGCCTTCACTAGTCTATCACTGCTACATGGAGTTTATCGTTGACCCTTGAAAATAAATAGCTACCCACGAAATAAACCCGTTTATCTGCTCCCATAAATAGAAAGTAGCAGAACCCGATAAGTCGGAAAAGACTTATATACGTGCTGCTCCTAAATGCGCCGGGGCAACCGATATTTTATCTCCTAAGTTTAAGCTAACGCAACGCCATGTGACTAACAGTTATCTTTCCATTTACTTAAACTAAATTCTAGCACACAAAAAATGTAAATTGAATAGAACTTTAACACGAAAAGAAGGAACACGCGATCCCCGGAGAAGAATCGCTAATTTCAATAATTGATAATGATGTCGTGCGTGTATCATCGCATACAGGGCAACGCGTTCGTAGAATGATTCATGGTCACGGTGAAATCATGAATAATCATTGAACGATATACCTAATCTGCGTATATATCCTGCAGATATTTAGAGCAAAACTGATTATGGCCAGGAAAATTACAGTGGCCGCGGTTATTTTCACACGGCGATTTTATAATATATATTACATGAAAATGCACTGTTGTTCGCGTAAGCCGTATTCATCCAGTTTCGCTCCAGCAAGAATCAGTTTACTCTTTATGGAACACACGCTGGCTTGTCCAATTAACAGTAGCGAGACACGAAATCGGTCGGCTATTAAAAACGCATCGCGATCGATAGATGTGAAAAATGTAGGTAAGCGAGATTCATCACCGTGTTTGAAAAATGGGAGCAACAATGTTAACAACGTAGCATCGTTTACTACACGGCTCACGCTTGTTTAATTAATACAAGAGCTACCGAACTGAACGGATTAACGACGTTAACGGTACAAACGGCACATCTCCGACGAACTGTCGGAATTAATTGGAAAAACGTAGCGATCAATCGAGCGTGGATAATTTAACGCGGATACCGGTACGCGTAATGAGAAGTTCGATTCGATTTATGCGTGTAGCACGGTTATGTACTCGTAATAAAGTCACCGCAAACGTGTCTCGAGTTTCAGACGAAAGGAATCAATCGTAACCGTAATCAGTACCGTGCTAAGTAAACACTTCATCATTGAAAGGCGAATCGTCGCTACGATTCGAGAGGAACGTGACCACGTAACCCTGATCCATCGGCGAATTGACAGACACAAAGGCTGTTTCTCGTCGAACCGAGACGAGGAGTCGCGAGAGATCAGGGTTATCATGTTTCGCGCGGAACAGTGCAAGAGAACGGGAAAAGAAGCGAGGAAAAGCGAAGTCTGGTACGGTGACACCCACCTTGCTAGTGGACCACTCCTCTTCGCTCGTTGACCCAAAATCTTCTCGACCACGGTGACGTTCCCGCTTCTCGCTGCCTCCAGCAGCTCCTGGTCCTTCCCCATGGTCCATTTACACCGTAATCAATGTCTGGTGTTCACTTGCACACTTGTCAATTTCTGTTTTTACTATGATTACTCGCGTTTCATTGATCCAGCGTGGCCATCTTGGCCCGACTGCACCGCCACCTCGCGGTCACTTCACGAAACACCCGGGACGCACGGTAGCGCGAGGAAGACAGAGAACGAGAAGAACGTAACGGGTTAAAAAGAGACGGCCCTACCAGCCAGCCGACGACTCGAAGTATACCGTGCTCAGGCATGTAGCCGACTGTCAAGTACCAGCTGTTGCGCCGTACTGATTTTCCGTAGCTTCACGCCGACTCGGCTTTGCGGCAATTTAATCGAATAAGTGTGTCACGCGGCTCGTTACTCCGATCGACATGAGCCGCACACTTACCGGGGAGTTACTGATCTTCCTTTTGCTCCTCGTCAGCAGCCTAACCGGGAAAAAGGTTACGGAAACGTATTCGCTTAGCGGTAAGCAACTACATAACCTCAAACTGTCGGTCGCCCAGAGGATTTCATTCGTTATGGGCCAACGGGAAATTTTCGCCGTAAATCGTGAAACTAATTAGTTTAAATTTTGTGTTCATGAGTAATTAGCATCTCGGTTTCCGGTCGTACCTTATCACGGTGTAGCCTACTGTGTTCTTGTTCTGATGTACTATTTATATCGTTTATTGAGTATTTCCGTTTGAATGGTGTCAACACAAAACAGTAGTTCACATTGGAAATCCAAATCTCCAATTATGCGCGTAAGATTAGGCTTAATGTATATGTAGATAAAACACCTTGTTTTGAATATGTAAATGTAAAAGGTAATAAATAAGGTTCTTTTATTTCCTGAAATGTAAGTATTCTCAGTATTTCTTTGATACATTATACAATTATCATTACATTTTCATCATTGTAAATATTCATTTTAAGTATGAAATGCACAAAACGTATTTATACGTGCACATAATTACAAATTATGCAAGTATGTAATCGCCGACTTTCAGTTAAACACAATTATTATTAAACATAGAAAATATGACGAAAAGTAAACAGTGCCTGATCTTATCATGTAATAAATCTAAACAAATATTTTTATTGTTTTATCTTTACATACGTAAGCCTGGATTTCCAAATTTTATTTCTTCCTCATGTGTAAAATTTATATTAGAACATTTGTTCAAGTTTTCGATTAAACTATCGAAGAGAAATAGCAATGGGACAACATAATCTAATACATATATTTTACAGACGTAAATATATTACAAGTGAACTTAACAAATTTTCACGCACAATCACCATATTTACGCCAAGTATCTATCGATGGCAATAGGACTGTTTCCTTTAATATTACAAACGTTTCATCTAGTGCTGCGTTCATGATTGTTCAAATTCACGTTTATCAATATAATGTCACGTTAGCTTACGATGAAGAGTCTTTAAATAAAGTTTCGAATAGGAGCGTGTTCGGATCGAATGTCGGTCTTTTCAGTAGACTGACCAGCAACATAATGACTCAGTTTTTCGTGAAAAATGACAACCCACAAACTATTGAAGCTCTTCTCATTGCCATTCCTTACAATGCCAAAGGTGAGTAAACTTATCTCGTATGAATAGATTCATTTTACCTAATGTTTTGTAAATTACCGTTACGCGATTCGAATTTAATTTTCTGTCAGGCTCGCATTACAAGATTCTAAGGCTGTCTATACATATGACATTCCAACGTTTAGGACATCGTTTAAAAATATTGAAACTGAATTACATCCGTCGTCGCGTGATTCTATTCAGATTTATTCGATAAAATTGATAATATCGTAAAAAGAGCAGTTCGATAAAAGTGAATCTCCCACTGCGAAGAATGATCAGCCTCAGTTCATTGTTCTCTCCACAGCACCCGTACCGGGTGGGTGCAATATGGAGTTCGCTACCGAGATCGCACCGTATGCACGGGTGCAGACACTCCCCGAACTGGTAGTCGTTGACGTGCAACCCCCCTCGATGCCGTTGCAAAGTATCGCACTGTCGAAATGCGGTAACACAACTAATCCGGTCAGTGTTGAGATATATCAAATGTTCCTAACTGAGCAGGACTTCAGTAGTCTGGGTTATTTCTCCGCCATCAGTAGCATGTTAACTGTGCAAGATATCAAGACCAATGGAATAGAGGTATACATTGAAGTAAAAATTTATTATTCTCTGTAATAATAATAGTTATTCATTCTTCACTTCTGCAATTTCTTAAGTCTTACATTCTAATTCCGTCTATTAATAACAATTAATCACTAGTTAATCAGTTGTATTGTATGTTCAGACTGGTGATTTAACTCAATTTACATGATTGATGACAGTATTGCATGAAGAACGAAATAAATATATTCAAATATTATCGATATATTAAACAGATGGGTCAAGTATGTAATTTTAACGTTAGGTAGCAAGTGCCAGCGTAATGTCACCGATGAGACGAGTTTTCAGTGCGTATACAGGAGTTGGCTCGGTTTACGTCGCAGTGGCCAAATATGGAGAGAATTATGCAGCCTACGTGCCGGCGTTTTCTTACGCTTGCCATCCCGTAGTTGATCCAGAATCATGTACAATACTTTGTATGTGTCTCATCGAGCAATATATACAAACTACAATGTAGCAAAAAATAATTTCCTGCTATACTCTTGTTTCCAGCTGGATTCTTTCCGCAATTCATCTGCGCATCTTGCCTATTGATAGGCTTATTATTGATAATTTTCAGTTACCAGCATCTAGTAATAGTCATTGATACGATGATAACGATATTTTTCTTTGGAACAGTGCTCGGTTACATATCTTTTGGTATGTACTTATAACCGCAAGTATATACATAAAGGATTCAAGTATGCCAAATGACTTTTCTTTGGTTGTTTCAGCTAGTATTGGCATAGCCCTATTGATAAGCCTCGGTATAACAGCCCTGATTGTCTGGCTACGCTCAGTTACCCTCGTGGGCCGCGCACTACACAATATAATGACGATAGGCTTCTTTAGCGCGTGCCTCGTTTACTACAACTCCCCAGGTACGGAAAAACTCCCGCTCAAAGAGTATGTGTGAAACATCAATAAAATTGTCCGGAAATAAAGCGATTTCGTACGAGGATCACCGGAGGTTGTAGTAAATTATAGGAAAATAATGAAAGCCGGCTTAAAAGCGAACGACGAAGAGTAAAGGGGTGTGGGACGTGAAGGAAGAGGGGACGCTCACCGCCCCTGAAGTTAGTTCGAGTTTGGCGAAGGGATGAAGGCGCAGTCAGGGTCTCCCTGTAGCTTTTATCAATGTTACCCGCTCATGTGGAAACTTCGCCCGTCGAATCACCCCATGCTGTAGCATTCTCGTTGCCTCCTACCTTTCTCACCATAACCACCCTCCGTTCTGACCTACACACACGTAACACGCGTACAATAAAAATCATCGCGATCGCATACAACCATAGCGAACTCCCACGAAACGATCTAACCGGCTTGGAAGATTCGCATTTACCTAATTGTGTCCCCTATATTTGCTTAGCTCTGGGATACAGTATTTAGATTACACGGTCCGTGCATGCATCTATATCTACTTCGTCGACAGATGATCGACTTGATCACCCTTTATTCGCCTTTGTCATTGCTTGATTACGTTCTTTCGCTAATTATGCAACTAAGACGATGTCGCGTGGCAAGCATTTATTCGCTCATATTAATTCGTATATGAATTTGGAAATCTTGACCATAAAGAGTTTCTACTTATTAATGAAGTTCATAAGTGTGCTTACAGAACATCTTCGTTTTCATTCCTTTTAGATACATTTATAGCTGTGCACGATAATGCTATTTTTTGGACGCTGTTCGTAATCATAGCGTGCAGTATAGGTGTGGGCGCACTGTGTCTGCTTGGTCTCAGCCATCTGGCCACGTGTTCCATATGTACGGGATTAATGGTGGTCTTGCCTATCGATTATTACGCTGGTTCCAATCTGAAGTATATCTTAATAAACTTCATAAGAAGGGCTACCGTTGAAGACTTCTACCTAGCTAGTGTTCAACATCCGTCTCAGACCAAAGGTAGCTTTTCAGTTTGCCGTTATATTAAAGAAGATTTATTCGTAATTAAAATTTTTTTATACGACTTATAGACATTATTCTGATCGTGCTCTGGTCAGGCCTAGCATTTTATCATTTCGCTAGACATGGCGTGGGAATATTAACTAGTGGATCGGAAACAATACCATTGTTAGGTGTATAAGTACCTGCCACAAGTTTTTTCGAATGACCGTGTATATACTACCATCTGAGTTTAATTATTATGGATATCATATGAGTGTCTAAAATGTTACTAGAACATTAGGTATTATTATAATGGTGCAGTTAATCATAATAATTTCGTTCTAGTTTTAAACTCCATACTGTATATTTAGCAAAGATAATAAATATATTTCACTTCGTTTCCTAAATATTTCAATTATGTTACTTACCTAATCTAACGTGAGTTAAACTGTGTATACAGTATGTGCACCAAATATTTTTGCGTTCATCATCAACCAAGCGTTGATCATCCTTACCTATACTCAGTTCCGTTAGCCACCCGAACTCCTGAAACCTAATATGCTGTCCTACCACTTACACTTCTACAAGTCAGTGATCTTTTAAAACCCTCAATTTTTCGTTAAGGGCCACACTAATTTCTGAAGTCCTATGTATGTACGTGTCAATTATCGTCATGCATCATGCCAGTTATATTTTAATAAAAGGATTTTCGAGCAAGTAATTTTCTTCGTGTGACCCATTTATTAAAAAAGTGTTACAATAAATGAATTACTATATGCTAAGTTCTTAATATTGTAACAATAACCTTTTAATTAAATATTGGGAGGTCTAGAATGTAGATTTAAAGGAAAATGGTAAGGGGCTGATTACATGAAAGTATTCAGATGACTCCCGTTCTCATTAAAATGAAATAACATTTATTGAATCGAGACAGTGACACCTAACAGTGGTTCTATATCCTACTACTTACAATCTTAAAGGTAATCACAGCAACAATATTATCTCCATTATTCACAACACTTACGTAGATTACTGTCGCAATAATATATTATTCTCGTTAATAAATTTGTTAATACTCATACACTGTATTCGTTTATCGGTATTATTATTACAGATAATAAGAAAACTGCGTGACCACTTCCGCAATAATGAATCGATCTACGAAGTTCCACAGATTTCAATTGTTAAAAAATTTTCATATATTTGCATGTACAACTTATAAACAAATGTATATCAAAAATTTAGACAACGAGATATTATTCAAATATATATATAATTATTGTTTCAATTTTGTTAGTTTCTTTGAAATACAAGATAGCCTCAATCATATTCAATATACTATATAGAAAAACTATAATTTAAAAAAAAAAATGATTCTCTATCGAATTTCATGCAGAATAATTCGGAATGAGGGTACTTGATTGTTTGATTCGAAAGGCTGTAGACGCGGAAGTGCTTCACGCTTCGATCTGAACGAAGTGTATGGCCTCGAATAATCAAGGCTCTCGGCTCCGGAGGAACCGATAGTGTAGCAGATACGTGGTCGTATCCAGGAGCGATTTTTCCTAATTCGCAGCGGCTCGTTACCGTTTACAAGCCTTGCGCGTACGTTTTTGTTCTCACTTGTCTTTTTTCATTTCTTTTCATCCAAAAATATAAATTTATACTAATGTACAGTACAATTCAACGTTCGCCGTAGAAAACGTTCAAACGAATTGCGGTACACCAGCTGCGCCGGGAAACGTCGTTTCTCCTACGGAACGCAACGCGTTTTCACGTTCACGCCCTGCCGTTATAATCGTTTAAACGGCGCACCAAATCGTTAATTATCCTATTGACTGCTGACAAATTGTTAGAGCTCGTCACCTACTTAGAGAGACTTGACGCGACGCAGTTGCACAAAGTTCCTCTTCGAGAGGTAAAAGCCTGTTCTGGAGATCCAAGTCTAATTAAACGGATGCTTGTTGCGTAACACTCATATACAGATGGATTATGCTTCGGCGGAGGGAACAAAATATGGTCCAGGGAATCTTGGAACGAACAACCTCGCGACCTCTACGGATTCGTGTCAGAGTGTTCTAGCTATGAACATTGCACACAGAATAAATGATTTTGAGAAATGAGACTATTTCTCGTTAAATCGCAACAAAAATTGTTAAATATATTTAATGTTTAACCGTAACTATTTCCATCGTCCATATCTAAAGACGTATGAAGCATGCAACATTTTCTAGGACACTCTGATTAAAAAATAGGTTGTTGGAAGTCGGTGGGTCGATTCTAATCACCGATTTAGCGTTCCTCGCGTCAGGTACGAATCAACGAGCGAAAAGAAGGACGAGTTCAATCGGCTGGTTCAGAAAATGGAATGATGAGAAAAAACGGAGGCAGAAAACGAAACAAGGCCGTTTGTACATCACGTGAAACAAACGAGACCCGTTTGTCGAGTACCAACGAAAATTTCGAGTGCTTCTCACGATCGCGCTTGCGCGTCCTTCCGTCTCTTCCGCCGACTGGGACTTCCCCGTTTTTCTCTTCCTTTCGCCCGCTAATGCGATTAATTAAAAATTTTATATCGCGTAAAAAGCCTTGTCTCTGAGGTAGTGCATGTACATATATTTATCAAATTACCCTGTACCGTAATTTTTCCACTTTCGCGATACACTTTGTACGTGGATGGTGACCGAGGATGGGTGAAATTCATTTTCATTCAAACTTTGGCCCCAACGAGTTTCTCATCGTTCCACTGGCCTAGCGAGATTCGATTCACGCCGCCAACTTTCAAATAGTACAAACTTTATGATCAGATTTTCTTTACTTTACTCTCAACTAAATATATACATTCGCATATCGTAATATTAATGTTCTTTTACTCATAAGTCAATTAAAAGAACATTTTATATTATCACGATGATAAATTGGATAAGATATTCTATATCAACGTGAAACGATGGGTGCCGATTTTTCCCTGTAAAGATTCAATAGTAACTGAAACCCATCGTTGGAGTTAAGGCAACGAACAGTGAGTGAGACATATCATTCAAATGCAAAGAGAAACTAAGAAAAGCGTAGTGAATCGATCTCAAGTAATTCAATCCACCCCGAAACTTGTATCATTCGTTGTGACGTCTCCGTGTCGATCTACGAGATCCGTTCCAAGACTCTTGACGGGTGAGAAACGCATAACATGAACCGCGATACAATGTGCGGAAACAATGAGCGAGCGTAATAAATAGACTGCGGATTTTTATGCAAAATCAAATTTTTCTGATGTCAATCTAAAAAATGAAATCTAGATTGATATTCTTCTTGCTCGAAAAATAATTACGTGTATTATGCTTTGAGATTATGCACATGTTGCACATTATATGAATTACTTATGTTCTGTGCATATCCGATCTTGTCAGAAATGCATAAAGTCCGCAGTCTAATGATAAATGTAGGCTTGGGTCGCGTCTTCGAACACATTGATCGACCGCCAAAACTCTTCTCCGAATTACGAAGGTAAAGGCGGTCGGCCGTTCGTTTCCGGTTCCAAGGAAGAACATCGAATACAGATTATGGCGAAGAGGTTGCTGTCCGTGTCTGACTGTGTACGATTTCTATGAATTGGTACACGATCGAATGGCACCGTAACCGTAACGATCGCCCCTTATCTAAACATAGTATATACATAGCGTGTCGACGATTTCTCTCTAATTTATATTACAGGCTAAGAAGAGTAACAAATGCTATTTTACAACTTTTTTTATACAGATGATCGACGAGGAGGCGAGCTACAAATAGCACCGAACTGTCCGAATGAGGAAATAGTCGAGGGAGATATACGAAGTAAAACAATAGTGTTGCTCTCTCTTATAGTGATAGCAAGCTGTAAACTGATAGTATATTTAAATCCTCTAAGTAATTAGAATCTCAAATATCAAAGGAATTATTGTGAAAACATTCAATTGAGACTTATTACTGCATTAATAATTATTATTTATAGTTATTATGTATAAATTAATTTAGACTAATTTTTTGGCATGATGAAACTGCTATTTGAGGCTTCTATTTGCTAACCGACTCAAAATTACGAAAATGCGGTTACAGCTTGACGTCACTTCATATTGCTCGAGATGTATAAATCAGCCCTTCTATTTTACTGATCTTCTTATATCTTGCCCTTGACTATAAGAGACGAAGAGACAGACGATTGTTATTGATAAGCGACGCGTCCCTCGTGTTCGAAACTATGACTCTATGAATTTACTTGTCGAAGCACGTGCGAAACATGGCTCGTGTGCTTCTGTAAGCGCGTTCTCACTTATCTTATTCGTTAACCTAGGCGTACCCTAAAGGGCCTCCCGTTCGAGTGGTTTCGCGATCGGTCGACAGCGATAATCTTTCTCCCTTTACCAGCTACAGATTGGATTGTCTTAATCTAGAATCGCGTGAAGCTTGGACCAGAGGTGTAGAACGTTCGTGCCAGGGGAGGGAAATATACAACGCGCTCGTAGCACGACTTCGATTAGTCGCACGAGCAAAAGAGAGAAAGAGCGGTTCCGGAAACACGTTTCCCTTGTTTGAAACTAGTCGGAAGAGTTTAAAGCTACGGCTTGTATCCGAGGATCGTTCGCAAACTCCGTGCGAGAGATTCCCTTCTCTTAACGGAATTTGACGCGAAGACCCAAAGTTTCGTGCAAACCTTGCGGAGTTGCGTTCTGCTTGCATACGAACACGTTTTGTCAAACGATCCATCGTGATTTTTATTCAGATTATGAGTGTCACTCGGAAATTCATTTAATTAACATATAATAAATATTAAACTAGTGTGCAATTTAAGAATTTAATTTTCTTTAACTGTATGTTCAAACGTGACAAGCTTATGCTTTTCGTATTTCTAAGATTTTCGTTCACGAAAAATATTTATCACAATACGGACCTTCGAGGAAATTTCTGAGTTGAATTGTTAGCCGACGCCATATCTGCGAGCGAGCGTGATGGCCGGTCGGCGAAAAAAGCCACCCTCGAGGCAGCTATCAATCCCCGTGGCTCCCACCCTTAGAAAAGACAGCCGGCCTGGCTAGAGCCACCCCAAAGTCTCGCGAGAATATTTGCAACGGGTGCCCGCCCCTCTGCGTGTCTTCGAATCCCTCGAAATATCCGCGCGATTCGCGCGCCGGTCATGCGTACCAGTGGCATGCGTGAAAAATTCGATAAACCCTTGCCAGTCCTCGATTAAGGAACGGGAAATGGTAACGGTGAAACAGAATTCGAACCTTCGGATAAATAGAATTATGTTTAGTCAAAGCCGATCTAATCTCTAGCTGTGTCTTGAAAATTATCGACAAGTATTTGTATTATTTTCATTTCTGGGCAAGTCAGTTACAGGATTCGAGCTATCAAACGACGTATGGATTGTAGACATAAATAGTAAGAGACCTAGAAATCCAGAGTTAATGAAAATAAAAATGTTCACATTTATAAAAGAATATAAATAATTTAATTTCACGTTCACAAAACTTATTGCCACAATGGATCAATTAAAAAACGTGTTCGACGCCTTGTTGATTTCTACACTGTCGTAAATAGATGGATAATATACCCTGCGTGACCCGGGTCATGCGTATACGTCTATGACCACTAGATTAAACGCGAATCGAAGAAGAGACGATGTGCATCGGCCTCGAGTTCCGACGGATCGCGTTAGCGCGACAATTATTCATTCAACTTCCTGATTACTATCACAAGTGCTTTTTTGTAGAGATACTGACATTAGAAATCGTGTGTTAACAATTCTCGATTACTCTGAAATATCAGGTTGATATATACAATATGAAGCGTCGTTCTATTTCTCTAGTTCGAATTTTCCGGTCGTCTATCGTCTCTGTTGTTAAACTTAATGAAAAGACAAGTTCTATTCAGTCAAACAAAAATGCAACTATAAATGCAATATTAAAAAGATGTAGTGATTTTAGAGCTCACGATGATTAATAGATTTGTAGTAATTAAATTACAATGGTCTGTACAAACAATGTATTGTATTGTTCGAATGAAATTGTTATTGTACAAAAATTGCATGTGGTGTGTAAAGAAAATGAAATTTCATGTGCATCGACTTGATAATTGGTTTTTAAGGATGGTGCGGATAGATTACATGCGTTGGTTCTCTTTAGGAGGACAGTAATCGCAAATTCTGTTGCGGTGTTGTATCGTGTACTTGTTTTCCGGTGGCCGAAAGTAGCGATCAGCAGTGTCCGCTCGCTCGTTGCCGAGATTTGGCAGCCATCCAACGAGTAATTAATCGAATTAAAGCGGACCCGTTAACCTTTTATTCTCTTTTTAAACTCCTGTTGCGCCGTCCCTTAACAGGTTTCTAAACACCGTTTCCGTCCGTTCAACTCTTTCATCAAGAGTGACTTTAATAGTCTTGAGTGGATTGATACGTTTTTTAAATTCAACGAAACGAGTTCAATTACTTTACTCATTAAATTGTATATTCCATAAAGTAAAAGTTCAATTTTGTTTCCTCTTGTTACCGTGTTAAATAAAATATAAAACTTAATACAGGCCCATTTGAACAATCAATATTTAAATTAAGATACAAGAAATAAATATTTTGCAATGTAACGATGAAAACATGAAATATTACAACACAATAATTATGTTCATTAAATCATCGAACTGTGTCCATTGAATCAGGCTAAAATTTGCATGCATTACTTTCAGTTTCTGTAAAAATATAAAACAGTTTTCACATCGATGACGCCAACGTTCGTATTAAATTTATTTTACACGTGTTTCTAAACTAGCTAGAAATGAGTAATTTCACGCGTGTAGCAATCGTCGCGACTCACGCCGCGGTCGAGGCCGACGCTTCGTCGTACGCAAACGAACCGAACTAACAAAGTTTCGTCGAGTTTGTCGCGTTGACCATCTCTGCAAGAGAGCGTTCAGAGAGATTGATCGGTTCACTCACTCACTGGTGTCGGAGGTGTGCACGGGAGTGGTAGCCGGCGTGTTCGAGGCGGGCTGATGCTGCGCCGGCTGCGTCGGCAGTCCGAGGGACGCGAGCAACGGCCGGGACACTGCACCAGGGGTGGCTGTCGGTGGCGGCGGGCTCTCCTGGCCGACGAGCAAGCTCGCGGGCGGGAACCCGAAGAGCTGGGATCACTGGAGCCTCGGCCAGTAATTGCCGGTCAGGTCCGGTGTTTGAGATGGGATCTGAACGGGTACCGAGACGCCCGCCGATATCACGCCTGAAACAGGTTCAACATGTTTGCACTCTGATTAGACTCCTGTCTTCAATTGATTTGATCTACAATTGCGTTACACGCCGAGAAATTCAGTAACATGTTTCATATATCGAGGAATAATAATTATACACACTTTGTTCTTCAGTCGTAGCAATTAATATCATTGTTTAGATAAAATAATGTGCATCTGCCCACATATACATGCATACAAATATTTAAAGGAAGAACCTACTGTACCCTAACGATAGTTAAATAATTATTAACTTGAATCGTGTAATACGCAAACAGCTCAACGAAGTCAAGTCAAATCGAACTAGTCTCTTTCGCATCGCGCGTTTTAAAAAATCTCAAACGACCAATTTTCATTTGAAATCCCTACTCTGACTAACCGAAGTGGATCATGAAAAAGAAAAATACCTACTTAAGTGACGATAGAAACTACGTCGGCGCGTGTAACGAGGAGTCGGTGAAACTCGCGGCGCTCATGCACGTAAAACGATTATGATGGATAAGTTGCGGATCGTTCCGCACGTAAGAACCGAGAAACGAGGAAAACAGAGGGGGTGCGAGAAGAGTATGTACGGCCGCGGGAAGTCGGAGTTAGCGGGGAAGAGTAAGTGGAAGAACACGAAACGGGGAGAGAAAGACGAGTACGAGAGGAATGCCGCCACGTGTTCCGCAGTATTCCACCATTCTACGGCGTTCCACTCCATTCCTGTAGGTACGCCGCGCACCCCCGTGTTTCCTCCCCTTTGGGTTCGCACGTTATTGAGCGCTCGCCCAGCCGAGGCGAGACCCAACCCATCCACATCCTCTGTTCGCCCCCTGTATATCCTGAAGAGAGGAAGAGCCGACGCGATAGAGACGGTGCGAATCTGACCGAAAGGGAGGAGGAGAGAAAGATATTGGGGAGCAAGGAAGCTGGAGAGAGGGAGATAAAGAGAGAGCCGGGACCGGGAGGGTCGCACAGTTTTCGTTAAACGAGAAAGAAGGGTATGGAGGGACCGAGGGCGGCTGGAGGAAAAGTCGATGAAGAAAGAAACCAACAGGACGAGGAGGACGAGAAGGAGGAGGAGGGTAGCGGAGGGAAAGTGAGAATCGGAAAATGGAAAATTCAGCAGGCACATTGTCGATGGAAGGAGGTGGAAAACCACCGAATATCCTATCCTTCGATTCAGCCCAGTGGCGCCGCGCGAGATTTGTTTTAAAATCCTTTCGCAATTCCGTGGACGAACCGGTCCACACGCTTCGCTGCTGTAACGTTTATTTTTCTTTCCGTACATCCCACTCGGTTGTCATCCCTCATGAGGAGGTGCTATGTATATTACGTGTGAAAAGGTTCGTACGTAATCCTCGACGCTTTATTTCGCTCTCAACGCGGAGGGTACAGCTTTCGAGGAATGGCAAAAAGGAATTTCAAGAGGACGCTTATTTCATGATGGATTCTGAGGAATTCGTAAGATTTTCTGTTTTGTATCTCCGATGGATCTTCTATTTCTTCTTTTAACGATATAAAGCAAAAATCTACTTGACTCTCAAAAAGTTAGTACTTTGAAGCATGATCTCTTCTGGAACTACCCTTGAAAACTCAACCAGTCAGTCAAGAACCATCCCTCACTAACTCCATCTACTTCCTTCCGGTTCGATCATCGTTCTTGCGGGATAAATTGAACTTAAGTAACTGGGAGGCCTGGGTGACCTTGATTAACGCTAGGCGGCGTGAGGAAATTTAGGGATGGGGAAGAAGGTACTGGCGGCGCGGCGTTGGACGACCTTGAAGATTCAGCAAGAACAAACAAACAATCCTTTAAGCGAAAACTCACCAGTCGCGGTCGAGGTCGTCGGCTGGTAGGGCGCACCACCTGGTCCTGCAGGCTGTCCACCGGGCGTGGTGGGGGTTCCACCATGAGAGGTTGGTATACCGCGATGGGGTTGCGAATGCGCAGCAGTGCTGTGTGCGTGGGAGTAAGACTGCGTCAATGAGTGAAGAGGCTCGTGAAACACGTATGCCGGATATCCCTCGGCGCGTTGCTGAAGACAGCTTCCACCCATTGACCCGCCCAAGCTGCTCGACATCGAGCTGTGAACAAAGGGCCTCCGTCAAATGAAAATACGATAATCGTTGCAGATTTCCAAAAGCAAGCAATGTTACTGCTACTCGTCCAACTAACCAACCATTAGTAGTTAGTAATTAATAGTAGAAAGAATCTTAACAATTGTTCTTATAATAGTCTACAATTTATTTAATTACATCCAGCAAATATTGCTGACTCCAACAAGTATTGCAGTACATATGTATTTTTGTACTCAAAACAACATTTAGCAGTAAGCTGTTAAGAAGATTAAATTTTGACACGATCGGATATTTATTTATACAATACAATCGGTAAATCACGCGATGTCGAACGCGAAAAGTACAAGGGGATCGTTTGGAAAATTTAAATTCGTCGCTTTTGATATCCCTTATCCTGTAATCTCTGCAACAATGCAAGTCCGATATTCCATCGCTAAATCTTTACATATTCAGTTCCATTGTTATCGGGCTATGATACGTACAATACCCAAAATCAGATTTCAACTTTTATCGAAAAACCGATGACTGATAACGTTTAAAAGGACGAGCAAATTTTCACCGCGATTGAATACTTAATTTTGACTTTCTTTCACTAATCTATTTGAAAGTTGAAATGAAATTCTGTCGAGACACCACCTTTCGTCAGCGTCGTTACAAACAACTCGTCATGTTCACTCGATAGAACACGAGAGAACTCGGTCTCGTAAACAGAACGGCACCCCTGTACAAGGTTGGCGAAAACAAAGGTAAAAGAGGGTGACAGAAGTGATTACCTGTAAGTGTCGGGCATGGTAGCGATCGGCTGCGGTATCGATGAGTACATGGCGTTGAATCCGGCGTTTAAGGGTAACCGTGGCGTGGCAGGGGTCGCAGCCGGTGGCGCGGTGCTGCTTCCACCCCCGCTGCTCCCGCCGCCGACTACCTGATCGACGGCTGCTCTTCTTTGGTTCCGTAATTTCTCCTCTCGACGCCACTTCGCCCTGCGATTACTGAACCACACCTGCAACCGACGCAATGACGGTGCTTTTGTCACGATAAGGGGCGTCACTCCGCGCGATGTATTCGCATTATCCGCACCTATCCATCCTCGCGCACTCTCGCGTCTCTTCGCATTCTTTTCTGTTTCTCTCTCTCGTTCTTCCACAATTACGCGCATTTTCACTCACACTCGCACTCTTTCGCTCACTACGTTTCTCGTTCGTTCCTCGCCCTTGTCTCCGACTGTTCCCACCCCTGTCCCTTTCTCTCTCTCGCGCTTTCTCAACCCCTTTTCTCGCGACCTATTCTACGTGTCCAGCCAGCCGACAGCGTGAAATCTAGATACTTTTTCCACCTAACCATCCCGGCGTCCCAGGAGTATTCACGCACTACAGTTTGCACGAGACTCAGTTTGTTAATTGCGATTGAGCAGTTGCCAGATGGGAAATTGAGTTACTCCCGCCGCGGCGTTGAGCTGTGTTCTCTGATGTAATCTCTATGCAGCTCGTATCTCATTTCCCGCGCTTTCTTTCAGTTTGCCAGGTTTTTAGTAACGTTAGCTTTCGTAGAAACTTTTTAAAGGACTGCGTTGATGAAATTGAAAGCTCAGGAGGAAATTGCTTTTAAGTAGATGCTAATTTTGTTATAATTTCGCTTAATTCTCATAACCGCGATAAATACAATATTTGTTTAAATGAAGAGTAGATTGTAATAGCATACAACATAAGTATAGTCGATTTTTGCGTTTTTTGTATCTAATGGCGCAAAAGAAGAAACTGTATTATTGATATTTATGCCGTTGTTCCAAACGGGCATAATAATCGGTGACCTCGAACACTATCAAATCGGAGCTTAAAGGCTCTTTGTCGCGCTTCCAAGAATCTCCGATTTGGCAGATACCTCGTCGCGATAAGAGGATTCCTTCTCCCTTCGATTTCTTGCTCCCCTCAGTATCCCCAGCGCAAACAAATTCCAGATTACATCGTAATTTTTCCCTCTAATACCCCCATCATCTGGTTTCCACGTCAAAAATTTACCCTAACTGCGCTCGCCGTCCACGGGAAAAAGAAAAATTCCCGGTAACAAAAGGCTCGAGAGGAAAAACTGATGTGAATGGGAAAAATGCAGAGGAATGGAACCGAGCCCGGAATTGTTGAATTATGAAACGGGCCGATTGCTCGGCTCATTTGCAGCGGAAAAAACGCAACGAACGCGCTCTTTTCCCTTCACTCGCGACGAGCAGGCGCTTTCATTAATAGTCGACAATTGCTACGTCGGCTGTTCCGTATCGCCGACAGCCGGTTGAACGTTCGCGCGATAATGAGAATAACGATATAAAAATTCGATTGCCGGCAATGAGAGGCGCAACTTTCTCAATTATCATGCACCGCGCTAACAACGAACGGGATCGACGCCCGTTATTATTATTATTATTTTTTGCCTCTCTCTATCAACATCGATTCTGGCGTTAATTTGCGCTCATTCATTCGAGCTATCGATGAAAAATAAGGCAAACAGGAGAGTAAACAGGAAATAAAACGTTTGTACCTTTAGTTGTTTTAAATCATGGCTTTGTTGAACGCATGTGTATGAAAGAAATTGCTGCATTAGGAAATTTCTGTATTCTCATGCTGTTCTCTTTTGGGAGAGAATGAGGTAATCCATCGGTCGCCCAAGTGAGAGGGAGAGTATGCTTGGCTTTCGAACGCCCATTGCAGCCAGGAGAGTACAGGGACTACTTTGGGTCATTCGTCTTGAAGGAGAGGATGGCTGGATGATCAGCCGTTCGTCTATCCGGGAACAGTGTACAGGGAATGTCACCTGAATTCACTTTGTCTTTTTTCATGGAGAATAGAGACGGTTAGATCTATATACCATTGGTTGCAATTGAGGAGTGAGATTACGGAGGAAGATTCGCAGTTATCGTAATAGAGGAGAGTATGGTGGGTTAACCTGAGTTATTTTCAGAAGAAGAGAACGGCTGGAAGAACCGCCGCTCCGGTCACGTCGAGATTAGAGTACAAGAAGAAGCTCGGATGCTTCTATCGAACTATTATAATTAAATCGAAAACAAAAACGAAGGGAACTTGTTTTTGTAATCAGTTCAATATATCGTGGAACACATTGTCAATAAATTGATTTGTTTGTACCAAAAACCACTCCAATCCTCTCTCCCATCATAGCTTCTAGTTTTCCGGAATCCACAAACGAGATGGAATTTTATTAAGCATGTGAAAAATGCTGCTTTCGAAATTTAGATAAAAAACGGTCTGCTGAACGGTTCGGATTTAAAATTTGCGATCGCGCTGTCCGTCGCGAAATTTGATCTCGACGGTCTTCGACCGGGCGAGCGAAATAAAAAAAAAAAAAAGAAGGGGAGAAGAAAATAAATTTGGTGGTGGCAGCGACATGGCAAATCGTGTTCTAGCGAGCCACCGGCAAATATCCACCATTCGCCCGCAGCGAGGCTCCTTTCGCCCAATGCCGTCGTTCCTCGTAAACTCGTCCTACCGCGTCCCGAAAACTCGTTTGAATCGATCCATTCGGAATTCCACGAACCGGGTACACTCCGCTCCCGTCCCTCGCCGCGCGCCAAGCCGGATCTTCTACTTTGATTGGCAATGTTTAGAAGATGGCGTCCCCACGCGAATTTTAAGAAGATCCAAATTTTTTCCACAGTACGTCATGAGCCAGTTTTCGTATAAATGAAATTCTTCATTTCGTATATCTTTTTATCAGACACAATTCCTTGATATATTTCTCGTTCTTCCCAAAATATTTCGAATACGAAAAAATTTACAGGATTCTAAATTGCTTCTAGATTTTTAAATCTACCGAGAGAAAAGAAACAATCGTAGATTTACTTCATAAGAATTTATGAAGCATCCGAACGAAGAAGAAGTAATTACAAGAAATATCTTTTGAAATAAAACAGAACCAGAGATGAAAGTTTCAAAAATTCCATTCTTGGATAGCAGCATAAAAGAATTCGTTGAAAGAACTTGAAGAAAGCTCCTTAAACGTTTCACTGAAATCCTTCTACATTTTTTATCGTCGATCTACCGGCAATGCCTCAATCTGCTTTTGGTATGCTACGAACTGATGAAAGCACAGAAAGGAAAGTTCTCAACAGCATCGACAAGTTCCTTCTTCTCGTTCTAAAGAACATGGGAAGGATGGTAAACCACTTCGGCCATCGCGACGTCTCACACGGAGGATTCTCCATCGCCATAGATGATAATCGGGCAGCAGCTTTGGTGTTGCGCGACGAAACTCGTGCGACTATTCAAGGTATAGGTGGAAAAGCGAGGAACAACCAATCAGAGGGCAACCTCCCTGGGGACGCGACGTTGCCATGGTTGCGTTCGAACCCTCTTAGGCCGTCTGTGCCGGATCCCTCATGGCTCGTTCTCGTTCGGTATCGCTGGATATGCCGCGTGTCGCGTGCGATTCGTAACCATGTACCGCGGCCCATGCCATCTTACCATGCCACGCTTTCTCTTCTGAAAACACCCTCCCTCTCTTCTATTCATCTTTCTATTCCACTTTATCATCAGTTCTCGTTATTCCTTCGTTCGTTCCTCCCCGATATCAACGCTATTACGCGTTCATTCCTTTTTGGACCATTTACCTTCTTTCTCTTCCCGTTTATCTCCACCGATCTTCCATCTGCCTTCACCTTGATCATTCTCTCTTTCTCCGGTCCTCTCGGTTCCTCTCCGTTTCTCTACAACCAGATCGTCCCTCGTCTCTGTCTCTCACACGCTTCCTCCCGCTCGCTCGCTCTGCCTTTGCCTCTCGCACCGGCACTCCCGGTTTCCTGCACTTAGCAAGATCAATACCAGCCAACGAGGCTTGAAAACATGCGTCAACATGGTCTTGCACTGTTTGTACGTCCACATAACGCTCAGCGCCCGGTTACTACCACCGACGCGAAAGCCCGCCGGCCACTTCACCACCCCCTATCGTCGGGGCCAAGTGAGTGAGCGAGGGAGGTCGGCCGGATAGGCAAGAGGGTCGGACACAGGCCGAGCCAACGGCACAGCGCGCCGCGGCCAAACAATGTTCGATAAGGCTGCGTAGGTACATATTAGCTCGTATAACTGTGCGTCATCCCATGGCTCGAGCAACGATGTTATATTAATTAATTGCGATACATTTTCTCTTGATCTTGCTCTCTCCTTCTTTCCCTCTCTCGCGAGCGAGAGCTCGCTCTCTCCTCTTGCGCGTTTCTGTACTCTCGTGTTCAACGCGAATCGCATAGTGAGTAATTTAGCAACAATGGGTAACTTGATATTATTTCAAACTTGTGAGTCACTTCATGAATTTTGGACAGGTATAATATTGACATACAATTTTACGTTAGTTCTGTGTATGA